ATTTGACAATAAATTTCATATATAAAAAAAAAATAAAAAAAATAAAACACATCCCCTTGCAAAGTAGCGTACCTATACCGCCAGTTGTTCCAAAACACCGCGGCTCTCCACGACATCGGATGCATCACCAACCCAAAAGGCAAGAGCTCAAAACCTAGCCTGATCTCATGGGTCTCGCTCCAAAGGGCCCTTCTGTGGGGACCGACGTTTCTGGCAGAGCGACGGATAGATAACAAAATAGCCCGATGCCTTCAGATTGATTCTGACATTCCGCGGTCCTGTTTTCCGCATCTTTGCTGGAACGCTGGTTTTGGCGACGGCGGACTTGCACGTGGGCGTCAAGCCCGGCATCTCCTCTTACCTGATCTTGGGCCATTGCTCCGCCGAAAGCCCAGATGGCGGCAAACACGAAATAGAGCTCGTAGGTTTCCTTGGGGCAGTCTGCAGGGATGTCCTCTGTGGTCAGGAGACACTCGAGAAGGTAGCACAGCATCTGAACCATGCTCTGCTCTGGGATTGGAATCGTCTTCTTGAATCTGCAGGGACAGACCCAGAGATGCTCTTTGACATACGGGCTTCTCTCCTAGAGGCTTGCTGGACAGCCTCGGCACCCACTTGCTTTGGGGGCACTCGTGACCCGTCAGGATCCCTGGGATTACGAGGTGCTACCGAAGGCTTTATTCTCACCGCCTACTTTTGGGTCAGCTGTCTCAACCAAGAAGGGGCCCGCGGTGCTCCGAGAAGGTCCCTTCTCATCACCCTTCCCTCCGATACCCTCCCCCGCTGCTCTTCCCTTCTCTGAACAGTGACCGCCCCCCTCAGTCCTCAGGGAGTGCAGGCCACTGCGACGGAACAAGGAACCATTCTGGTTTCCCCGAGTGTCAAAAGCCCTCCCAGAGTCAGTGCAGTGCTGAGGCTGGTCCTTCCCTGCCTTTGGCTCAGAGAAGTTCCCTCAAATCAAACACACACACTGAAGACATTTCCTCGGGAACCCGAGTCTTACGGGCGGGGAGGCAGAGTGGGCCCGGACAGCTGCTTGTTGTAGATACAATCATGGCTTACTTGACGGAGCTCGTCTTCTGAAAATACGCCTCACTCTTCTGTGGCCTAGGTTTTGTACTTAAAAATTTG